CGGGCCGCGCGCGCACACGACGCACGCGCGCGCAGCCGGCCTCGTCCTCGAGCTCGCGCTCCGCGTGTTCAGTCCCGAGCCCTTTCATTCAAAGCCGGGGGCGCGCTCCGCCGCGGCCGCCGCGCTGCTGCCACGTCCGCCCCCTCTTCAGAAACCCTCCCTGGCTCCTCCCTCAGCTCCTCCCCGGCTCCGCCCCTTCGCCGCCTAGAACTCCAAGCCTTCAACTTGCGTGCCCCGCACTGGGTCTTGTGTAGTCCAATAGGGTTGAAGCTGAGGGGCTGGCGTCAGGACTAGAAACCAATGAACGCCGAGGGGCGGGGCCATCGGCCAGCAGGCTGACCTTTAATCGCAAGTGAGTTTCTGAGACCGTTGCAAGCTATTTGGGCTTTTTCTTCGTAGAGAGGCTGGGCTTGTGCCCAGTTATCCTACTTCTCCCTTGTATGTAGTGTCTCTCCTCCAATCAAGACCTGTTGAGGTCCACCCACAGAACCCTCTGCCAGATAGGACCGAGAAACAGCAGCGTCTAGATGGCAAAAAATGAGAGCCATCCTTCTCGTTACCGTGTTTCGCACGTGACGAGGGCAGATCTCCGTCTCTCCGCCACCTCGTGGAGTCTAAATTCTGCTTCATTCATGATAACGACCTCCACCACTTTATATTAAGTTTCTTGTAGAATTAAAAATTGCCACAAAGTCCTTCCTGGCTGTATTTGACTGGATCTCCCTTTGGAGACTGATTTTTCTTCATGTCTTAGTCTTTCTATCTTGTACGCTATTAAAAGACTACAGTGTTGGAGCTGGGGATTTAGCTCAGCCGCACAGCACCTGCCTGGCAAGCGCAAGGTCGTGAGTTCGATTCCCGGTACCGGAAAAAAAACAAAAAAAAAAACAAAAAAGAAAAAAAAAGACTACAGTGTTGTGTGCAAGAGAACCTCAGAAAACTTGCAAAGTATTTCTGAGAAAGACAGAAATTTGTATATCTGGTCAAAGGCTGCAAACGGTGTGCGAACTGTTGCTCAACCAAGCTCTCTTTCCACCCCGCCCCCCCCAAAAAACTTCTCCTGATCCACTGATCCAACACCGCCTCAACTTTGCAGCAATCTCCTCCTTCCCTTCCTCCCCACTGTAATCAGCCCTACATACCTTTCAGATTTCCCCAAATCCAGCAATCCTGGCGTAAATGTATTTTCAAGTGTTTCCCTTGAAGACGTAGTTTTCCTTCAGATGTTTGACTATGCTTTAAGACTTTGTCTTCTTTTTCATGATTTTTCAGTTTTGTCATTTGAAAGTAGAAGAAAACAAAGGCATGTATTCCTTTCTAGAAACTGTCACTTAATACTTGTTTGCCAGTGCAACCACACAAAAAACAAAGCTTGCTACAGACTGGTAACTTAAAATTCACTTTAGTGATATCTCTGAAAGATTATTTTTAAGTCTTCTTTTCTTGTTAAGTGGTAACCTCAAAACTGGGGAGCAAAGATGTCAGTAATTGGGGCTTTTGCTTGGGGATGCCCTTTGGGGAATGCAATTTAAAGTCTTGTCCTCTGCCCAAGTCTTGTGTATGGAATCTCAGGTGGGAGGAACAGAAGGGGTGGCACTGAGAGATTTCTTTCCAAATTACCTTTATTCCACGGAGTGTAGTTAATTCTACCTGCTCTGTGCACAAACTGTTCTGCCCACTTTAAAGTTCGGGTCAGTTTTTGCCCAGTTGCCAGCTGATCTATTCACGTTCTCAGCTTTCAGCTCACTTCCTTCCTCCATCCCAAAATGGTTTTTGCTGTTCTGAGTTCCCCAGCCGGGGCCCAGTCCTATCTTGTCAACTGACCCATCTACAAGGTTGGAGGAGACCTTGCAAATACATTTTCTACTTTGAGATCACCTCAAACCCGTTCTCTGGCATTTTACCAGAGGGTGGGCTTTTCCCATCAATTTTAGACCTGCTGTTCTGACTTGGACTTTAATGGCTTTTTATTAATGACCAGCTGTTCGTGGTTCGATACAGATCGTAAAAGTCACATTCATTTCAGAGCAAACCTTTGCAGCTCTGACAGTGACAGCTTTGAACAGATACATTTTCTAGGGTATGTTTTCTGAAAGTTTTTAATGGATTTTATTGCTGTTTCTAATGGAGAACTTTATTCGCTTTCAAAATAGTAAACTTTTAAGATTCTGGAAAATTACAACATTTTTAATTTAGAATTCACCATTTAACAGTTAGGGTCAACTGCTTAATAAAGAAGCCAAACCATCTGAAGTAGCTTTTTTATTTTTATGCTATTAACTGAGAATTAGCTTCTGTGAAGCATTTACATGTTTTTCATCATAATTATTATTACAATCAGCAGTTATTTTTATACCTTAATATAGGAAGACCCAAGATTTAAAAACAATTTAAAAGTTAAGTTCCATCAGAAGGAGCCTCAATAGGAAAGGATAAATATAATGTAATAGTGTACTTTTTATTTTTAGCTAGAAATAGATTCACCCAAAAAAGATGGGTGAATTTTCTTTTCTTTTCTTTTCTTTTCTTTTTTTTTTTCCTTTCTTTTGGTCTTTTTTGAGACAGGGTCTCCTTATGGAGTTCAGGCTGGCCTTGAGCTCACTTTGTAGCCCAGGCTGGTCTTGAACTCACAACGATCCTCCTGCCTCAGCCTCCTCGAGTGCTGGGATTACAGGTGTGTGCCACCACACTCAGCTGAATTTTCATTCTCCATCCAGTAGTTAGGTTCAGTAATGTAATATTCGTTGGCTAAGCTCCACACTGCTATTAGAACTGTAAAACAATTCAGCTATATTGTGACTTGAGTAGAGTTCGTCTGTCTGCACAAGACCTGACAGTCTGGGTTTTTTATTATTTCTAAGAGCAAATGTGTTGAAATTCTTACAACTTATATAAAAAATAGTTTCTAATATGATCTCTCTGGTATATGAGCTGAAAAATCAAAAATAAAACAATACTGACCTAACCATGGAAGACTCAGTCCTTTAGCTACTGAGCTATGGACCTCATTGTGGCTATGACCTTGAACAAGTTTTAAACTTCAGTTTTCTCATCGCAAAATTAGGGTAATAATTCCTTCTTTCGGGATTTACTTTGGAACTGAAATGTCATAGTATATGTGGAAATGTATTGGAAACAACATTAGCATCAACGAGTCTTCCAGCCATATAGGTTTATCATTTGCATGTCTAGGAGAATCCTCTGAGCTCACCACAGGGAATCATGCTTTCAAGGAAAATAGAGGTGAATTTTCTGTCACCAGCAACCAGAAATAGGCATGTTTTCCAGCAACACATTAAATAAAAGGAAAAGGAGAGGGGATAGAAAGCTTTGCAGTTGGGGCGGGGGGAATCCATCTCTACACCACTGCCCCTGCCTCATCTGTTCCCTTTGTTTCAAAGATGTGGAGTGAAAAAGCCATGGTCAGAAGTAAAGCACTGCACTTCCCTTCTCTCTGCAGACCTTTGGCTCATGGGATCCTTTGCTCCTGACAGTACGCACAAGAGTCAGGTCAGTACTTTGCTGTCTGACTAACATAAATATTTTTAAAGTACAGCCTTCTTCATGGTAATTACCCTTTTCAAAATAGAAATTGGTTCACCCTCATGCATCAGTTCAAATTTACTCAGGAGGATGTATCTTGATTATTGCTCTCTAAAGCCTTCATTTCTAACATTTATTTGTGGATCTCAACCTGGCCATCTCTGGCCCTTGAAAATATCAGACATATCAGTAATTCTCATTAAAGGTGTTTGTATGTATATTGTACATTTTATACAGTGAAAACTCCTCATCTCCTGACAATGAAATACATATTTCTTGCTGTAGTTCTGGTCTGAAATTATATTCTTTACAAGTGAGAATTAAATTCACATTATACAAGAAATGTTCAGTATAAAAAACTTTTCTCTTTTCCTAGGGAGACTTTATATGAAGGATCATCTGCCTGAGTACATAAATTACTCTAAAGAAAAACCAAATGAAAATCTTCTTGCATAGTAGCCAAGCACACTCATAAATATCTTGCCCAAAACATATTTTTCAAGCTCATAGGCAAAGAGCCCATCACCATAGCAACCATAACTAGTTGGTCTGTAACTGGGTGTGAATTTCATACACTGTTATTTGAACCATTTGACTGTGAGTTAGGATAAAGTGCAATTTCTGTAAACTTTGGGAGGATTTCTTTATTTCCAAAATCTGGTAGAGAAAAAGTTTCATAGTGCTACCTATGCCTTCATTTATTTAAGCAGTTCATTCAACACTTATGAACACACTTCTAAAGAAAAGTCAAAAACGAACAAACACATAACCCATAATTTAACAAAACTTTCCTCCTAAAGTAGGCATTCGTAAGTAAACAGCATTTTTGGAAGTGTAGTTTCTTCCATGGGGATTTTAGATCATTAAATTCTAATGACTTAAGTACTAAATGAGACCTCTGAGTCAGGTAGCAAGAGATTCGTAACTGGTCAGATGCCAAAAAGCTTTTCTTTTTTTGGTCTTACAAGAGTCCAGTCACTCTTTGAATGGGGAATGTTGGAATAGAGAAATTATAGTCCTTTTTTTCAACCGGAGACTGTACACTCCTGCAGCTCATGTCAGCCTGTGGAAGCCGAAATGCCCACAACTAGAGTACAGAAAGGATGCAGCCCTCTAGGTGTTTCAGACAGGTTGCCCTAACCATACTCATGACGGAGTCACATCAAGATATAAGCAGTTCTGTTTTGGTAATAACTTCAAATATACATTTTGTTTTAAGTCCCTTTCTTGTCCTGATATTGTCCCTTCCCACCTACACCTACACTCCTGTCCCAGGAAGATTCGTTCCCTGTCCTCTAGTTCCTTCCAAATTCTCCCATGTCAGACATCCAACGAAACCAGGATTTATATCAGATAAAGTTAGGATCCCCACCAAGGACCCATGAAGTCTTAAAGAGCAATTGCTGACCCGATGCACACCTCAGTGTGAGGAACCCACTCTCCCTTTTGCTGAGTTCTCTGTCCCTCCCCCCAGGGGCTGCCCTTCGTCCCCTTGGTCCAAGGAGGCATCTTGGTCCATGCAGTATGGAAAAGAGGAAGGGCGGCAAAAGGGGCAAAGGGATGCGTCATAGCCATATTTTAAGGAAAATTCTTAGAACATTCCAAAGGTTATTTCTGGTTTTACAGCCCACCACACAGAATCTGGACAGTCTTCACTGAAAGGAAAGCTGTGAAATAGTCTTTGTTCTAGGTGGCCCAGTGCCCAGCCGATGATTCTCATAATTAGCACTAACGTAGTGCTTATTGCATGCTAGGCACCGTTCCAGTGTAATATGAAGCCTAGTGATTTATTGGACCAATGACTGACATGATATAGGCAACATTACGGTAGTAAAACAACAGGAGTGGCTATCATTTACTGAAAGCCTACAGCCTATTAGACTCTCAGTTATGTACCACATGTGTGATATCATCAGTCCTCAAATACTCTGTCACAAGGTGGATATTTCCTTATTTCACAGGTGAGAAACAGAGAGGAAGTACAACTAAGCACTTGCCTGACAGCACCGAGGTGCTAAAGTATAAACCTGGAATCTGAGCAGGAATTTGGACAGAAACACGTTATCCTAAAAACTCTTCACAATGAAACATGTTCTCATGCCTGAAGAAAAATGAGAGGCAATTAAATGTTGGAACTTGGACTCTGATGTTAGATTGCCTGGATTTGAATCTCAGCTTTACTGTTAGTAGTTCTGCATGATCTTGAGCATTTTCCCTAATCTTCTTAGGTTTCAAGTTTCCTCATCTAGAAAAGGAGATGTTTGATGTATGGGCTTATTGTAAGGACAGTAATGTAGAACACAGCGTCTCAGCATCATTATATGGTGCTTAGCATGAGGTCAGTCTTCATTTCATCACTATTATTGAAATTATTCACAGTGGAAGTGTTTTAGACAGCACTTTGGGGAATGAAAGAAGAGATAAAAGCAGATAGATCATCTAGAAGTTGTTTCAGTGTTCAGAAGGTGATGGAATTAGGTAAAAGGAAAGAGAGTGGTTCAAGATATAAACATTTTACCTATTGTGAGGAATACAGGAAAATATTCTTATTACCTTCTAATTCCATGCTCCTTACATTTACCAAAATGGGAGCACGTTTACTTTACCAATTTTTCATATCCCAGAAACAACAGTACTGAGTAGGAGAAAGCAAACAGATACACATGCTCACAATACAGATCACGTCTGAGACCTGTGTAAGGCCCCTGCTCACCACACACACATACACACCCCTAGCAAACATCAATCAACAATCCTGCATCAGAGACCACCTAGCTGTCCTCTAATTCAATTCAGTTCTAACACGAGCTGGATAGAGATTGCATCAGATCCCACAGGGTGAGGACTTAGTTTCCAAAACTGCCCTTCTCCAATTTAGATGCCATTTGCAAGCCCCAGGTTGCAGGTTGCTTTATTCCAAGTTCTGCCTGATGGCTACACATCAGGGTTCTCACAACCCTCTCTGCAGATTCAGTTGCTTTGCTCAAGAGGCTCACAGAACTCAGGGAAACGCGTACACTCGTCTAGCAGTTTATTATAAAGGACATCACAAAGGATGCAGACGAAGAGATGCACAGGGCTGAGTTATGTGGGAAAGGATGAAGAACATCCATGCCCCTCTCTGCTACCACTCTTCCAGGAACCTCTGTACATTCAGTTATGCACAAGCTCACTGAACCCCTTCTGTGTGGCTTTTTATGGAGATGTCAATGCATTTTTAATACACACAGACTAATAGACTTGCTCCCAGAAAGGACTGTTTTTACAGTCCTATTTTGGGCTCTGAGTAGCAGCATCCAATCTACTCTTTATGGAACAGGACCCCTTCTGAAATGGCAGCTGGAGAGGGGTCTTATCAATAACCAAGGCAGGTCAGAGAAAGGGAGGGAAGAGTAGGCTTTCTGTGATCTTAAGAGAAAGAAATTGTACTTTCTGTGGCCAGTCTTTGGGAAGGAGTTCTGAATCAAGAACCATGGATAAAACCCAAAACATATGCATGTGTATCACAAAAGCATAGCACAACAAAGGATTTTTATGGCTTGTACAATACCTACAGAACCAATTCTTAGTTTGAAAGCCTTTAAAAGAATTAAACATCAATTTCTAAGACAGCAATGTGAGAGAAACATGAAGAGCAAAGAAATTAGAAGCAAAATGTAAAACCAGTGGCTAGCTAATGGTTGAAGGCTATGTGAAATCCCATTGCCTATACATTCCTACCAAATTGGGCATTTCCAACAGTACTAAATTTTAATTTATCTAGCATTGACTATTAAGTGCATTTAATATGATAACTCTAGAAAGCTCTGAAAAAGCAGATGGTTGGAAGCTTAAGTAAATTATTTTGGGAATTTTGAAACAAAATCTGTGGCCAAGAAGCAAAATTTTAGAAGTGGCTTTTACTACCAAATGCCTTATATTAGAAAACCTCTTCATTAAAAAAATCGATGGAAAGATTTTTACCAAAAACCTCCAGAAGATTAACTTAAAACTTTAGGCAAGGAAAGACTACAGATGTTGGCAGTTCTGTGGCTTGCGCAGTGTTCTGATGTGAAAATTATTTTTGCATCTCTTCCAGAACCCACATGTAGAAATTTGTTCCATCGATGCTAAAATTGCGATTCTTAGAATTGAGTTTCTTAATGGAAAGAAAGCATCATGGAATGGAAAGTAAACTCGATTTGCACTAGAAAATTTAATGCTTAACTCTTGGCACAGAATGTAGGCACCTTGGGTTTCTCTCATCCTCATTTAGGAACAGAGCTTTGTCACCCTGTCAGGGTAGGAACTGAGGGTGAAAGTATTGAATTACTGGTGGAGTGAGCTCTAGGCAAGTGCCCCTGGACAAGGCAGATGTCCCTCATGAAGGGGTTTCCATGTGTTCTCTGAAGCTCTCACCTCAGTACCAGGAACACCTTACATACAGTTTCCTTAGAACTGATTATTTCTGTTATAGCTGTTTGCATCAACTTTTCCCTCTAACTCCCACGCATTGTATACCCTCCTCCTAGCTTTCTTTCCCTACAGTCTACATTGCTTCTAAGCAGCCTTCCTAGGCAAAAGAGAAGACCTCCCTATTGCTAGAATCCAGGTTCAAGGACATGCTGTGTTGATGAATACTATGCTGTTATTGCACTTCCTGGAACCCTGGAGTTGGCCGTCACAGGTTGCTTCAGCTACCTGCTTATTGGTTAGATTCCTATCGCATAAATATCAGTCTGTTGTGTGCTTTGTGCTTCACGCCAAGCTCTCCTTGACTTGAGGCTTTGTGCTGAGATGTCAGCTGTGATTCTAATGGGCTTTCCTTAGTAGGTGATTTGTTTCTTTTCCTTAACAGCTTTTATGATTCTATTCTTGTGTTGAATTTCTGGAATCTTGATTATGATATGCCTGGTTGTAGATTTTTTTTTGATCATGGCTAACTGGACTTCTAATTTTTCTCTCTACCAGGGAAGTTTTCTGCCATGACATGTGTGAACAGTTTTTTAAAAATATCATTTGTGCTATCTCCTGCTTTTTCATTGACTACAATCAGTCATATGTTATTCTTCTTTGCCTCATCTAGCAGCTGATGGATTGATTTCTCATGGTCCCTTGTCATTTTTAAGGAATCTTTCTTTTCATGATCACTAATCACAAGCCTGTCTTCTGTATCTGAGATCCTGCCCTCACCTTGGCTTAATCTTCTATGGGTACTTTAAATGGAATTTTTATTCTCCTTGATATGTGCTTGAATCTGCCTTATGGATTCCATTTCTTTCCTATGATGAGCATTCATGGCTTCCATACTTTTCTTAAGTTCCTCTATTTTTTTGCCTGTATCTGCTCTGGAGTCACTAAGCATGGTTTTCACTGTGGACACCATCTCTGCAGTTATCTAAGAAATTATTTCTGATTTGATTTTTTTCTAGAGTCTCATTCAATTGTTTTCTTGTTATCACTTCAGAGAGGTCAGGTGGGTGGCTTTTGAATTGTCTCACCTCACTGCCCCCTGGGTTTACCTTTTGTGAACTAGGTATCTGGGGTTACATCTTGTTTAAGTGTCTTTTCATTTTTTAATTTAATTCCTGGGGTGATGCTTGTAAGTTATCTATGGTCAGTTGCTTTATTGCTAGTATTTAGAACCCTTAGGAAATGACTACTTCTCTGAGGTATCTTCCAGGTATAGCTGGTTTGTGGGTTTTGAGTTTGTTATAAGATTCTACCTCTTCAATTTGTTGGGGATGAGAAGTTGTTGCCTGTTTGGCCCAGCCCCTGGTTCTTTGGCACTGTGCCATAGTACTTTTTATGACCCTTAGTCAATCTCAGTCTTGGAATACCAGGAAGAATCACTGTTTAGAACAATTATGTCACTTTTGGCTACAGTGGTACCATCAGCAATAACAGTAGCAACAGTCATTGCCTAGAAAATGACAAACTGATATAACCACTAATTGGCCACTTTTAACTGTATGAACTAGGTTTGTAGTTATGTAACAAAATCTAAAATAGACCAGAAAATTATATGCAGTACATAAGTCCTTCATATGTCAATTTTAACCTAAGGGGTTAAAATTTAAAAGGGGTTGGGGAAAAATTGACAGGTAGAAAAAGAAGAAGAGATTAGAAGTAAGGATGGAGGACAAAGGGGGATCATGGAACTTTAGGAAACTGGTGCAGAAGACTACAGGGCAAGAGAGAAGGAAGAGATAAAAAGAACAGAACTAAACAACAACCCAAGAGTCTAGAAACCACATTCACTCTCATATAAAAACAGGATCAAACAAAAGAGGGGGAAAACACAAAAACAAAATGACAACAAGAAGAAGAAACAAACAAGATAGAAAAGAGGTCCATTTCCAGGTTTGTCTCTGCAATCACTGATAGAGAAGATGTGGAGACAGAGTCCTGATCTGTGTTGATTTAGCTGGGATAAATCAGCAGTAACTTTTTGGCAGGGTGGTGGATAATCTCAGTGAGCCTGCTCCTTCAGATCAAGACCAGACTCATTCGGCCTGCAGCTGTCAGCACAACTTCTGCAGGCCTGAGCCCAGTTGGGATACACTAGATGGAGCCAGCAGCCACTCTGAGTTCTAAACTCAGTTGGCCCCTCTTCAAGATGATTCCCAGCCAATTGTTCTCTCATGTGGGACAACTGAGCCCTCAACACTCACCACCAGCTAATGCAGTCCTTCACATCCACTGCTCCCCTCCACTGCAACACTTCTCCATGGAGAGCTCAGGGGTTGCCAGCAGTCACCTGTGTCTACAGGTTTGAATTACTCCTCTTGCACAGTGAGTCTCATCTCAGGGAGAAGGTGCCGCAGGCTACCTCCTTCCTCTTTACTGAAGTTTCTCCCTTCACTCTCTACCTGGGCTTTAATTTGTGTCTCAGATCTTTCCTAGCTCTAGGGGACCCACTTCCCTCCCTCTTGTCTTCCTTACCTTGCTATATTCCAGCATCTGGATAGCAATACTCAGAGAGGCTCTTTCTCTACTACTTACCACTCTGACATTTCAGTGCCTCCCCTGTGTGTTTTGTGTACTCTATGAAGCTTTCCATGGGCAAAAGAATT